CCCCAAAACCCCAAAACCCCAAAACCCCAAAACCCCGGGTTTAGAGAGGGGGGTTGAGTTGGAATTAGGTTTAAAGGATTTAGGGGGTTTTGAGTACGAAAGGTGTTTTGGAGGTAGAATTAGGGGAAGAAAGTTTGGATACATTTAGTGAGATGTTCTAAATTTGTTTGATCTTTGATCATTTGGTTTTTAACTCATAAGAGTTGTCCAGCAGAAGCTGAACTTTCTAATAAAATATTTAGAGTGGTTAGATAAATGAATAAGGAATCTCAGTTAATTTTATTTTGGTTTTTCTTTTTTTTTATATTCATTCTAATTGATAAGATATATACGCAAAGCTATTTTTGCTGTATTTTAGCATCTGGCAATCTAAGTATTAATTTATGAACCACATTATCTCAATTATTATGAACTAGCTGAAAGCTACTCTTCAATATTGCAGTAAAGTTTAAAACTTATAACAGATAAGCTCTCTAATTTTAGTATAAAGCTTGAATATATTTATTTTAAAAAGCTGTTAACTAAATTGCGCTCAAGTTTGCAATGCCCATAACTTCCCTTTAATCAAGATCTCAAAGCAGAAATAGAAGAATGGTTATGATCATTGAGAAATAAAGGATATAAAATTGAGTTTTTGTATAAAACAGTAATAAATCAGTACTAATGCATGGGTTTTTGGAGAATAGCACTCTATAGCAATAATTTTGTCGAGATAATAAGGTAAGACCTTTGGTATCCTTAATTTTTTAGAATTTTATAGGATTGAAGTAGTAACTTTTAGACATATGTAATAATATTAGTTCTCCCAAATATATATTTTATTTCTTTTTAAATAATCATTAAAGTTTCTACGATTTTTAACAGTTAAACTCATATTTATTTTGGATCTAAGATCAGAAAGCATTTTTTAAATGCTACTATAAATGTAGTTAACAACAATCTCATTGCTAAGCATAGTTCATTATTCTCTTGAAGGAAAAAAAGAAAACTCTAATTTTTAAGTTTGAGAAACTCTTGCTTAATTAAGAATAAAATAATTGCAAACTCATTTTTAAAATAATGATTAACTATTATTTATTATATTAACCATCTTAAGAACCTAGAAAATAATAAATAAATAAGCAAGCCTTTCATTTATTCCTCCTAAGCTCGCTACATCTATTCTACTCTATTCAAATAATTTAACCAAAACCTCCTCCCAACCCTTTGCCTGTTTTATCCAAACCCATATTCTCCCCTTAAGTCCAAAATATCATTCCAAATTTTATCATCATCAATTTTAACACCTAATTTCAACCACCATATCTTCTACTATTCTTTTCCTTCACTCATTAACTCTTCAAAGCATGATAAACACTTCTGAATTCTATGCTCACACATCTCAATTGACTCTAAAATTCATGACCAAACTTCCTCACTTGGCATTTCTTCAGCCATCCAATAAGCCATTTCGATCTTCTTTCGGGCTTTACGCATTTCGGAGTGTTCCTAAATTATTATTAGTCCATGGTTTAACGATAAGGACAAGGTGGGATGGTAAAGGGATTAAGATGAGATTGGGAGGGAAGGAGCAGAAGATTGCTGGAAAGTAAGGGAAGGTAGGAGCGGAAGGGTAGGTAGAGGGTGGGTGGGGATGAGGAGTTGGTGAGGATAAGGAGTGGTTGTGTGAAGGTTTGTGTTTTAATGCAGTTTAGAAGATTTGAGGTGATTTATTGTATTTAAAGCAATGTTTAAAACTAGCTTATAAGGTATTATCAAATTTACAACTCCTTTTTCCCCTTCTAAAAACTTATTCTCAAACTCCACCACCCACCCCTTTGCAAAATCCAAAAAATTGCTCTTTCCAATACCCTCGTTCCAACAAAATTTTTTTTAAATATTTCTTTTATTACCTCATGCATTCTTGATCTTTCAATCACCTCCATTTGTATTGATTTCATCTCTTCAAAGCAACTCATAACTAGAAATTAGAAAATAAAATTACACCTATCTTTTATAGACTTATTGGCAGTTTTTAATTTTTTATCTGCGGTTTCTATAGAAAATAAGTAAGAGAGAGAAACTTCGAACAAGTACACTGAGGTTGGAATATGATACCTGATTGATAGGAGACAGAAAGAGCGAATTAGGGATGAAGCAGGGAAGGATGAAGGAGAGAAAGAGAAATTAGAAGAAAGTTTGACAAAAGAAAGGCAAGAGATAAGACTGAAGTATTGATCTTTTAAAAGCTTACCAAGAATATATCCAAATTCAGTTTGAAGCTTTTCCTTTTCTTCATCTGTTAGTTTACACTCTTCTACATAAAGCTTCTTTTCTATCTTTGGCTTCAGTTTACAAAGTTCTTCAATATAGTCACTTATACAACGCTCTTCAGGATTTGGGGAAAATCTTAATGACTCAATTTTCTGTGGGATTGAACTTTCGAAGAATTTAAAGATCTCGTCTATATCCAGTTAGAACTGAGCGAAGAAGCAAAGGTCCAAAAACTTTAAAATCATATCCAAGAAAGTTAAAGTGTCTACTTCAAGTCTTTTATATTCTAATCAAAGTAAAAATTCATAAAACTTTGATTGTGTACAAAAATCATCAACAAGCACTCATTTTTCTATCAAATATCTTACCTTTATCGACTAAGTTGATATTTTTGAGAGTAATATCCTTAGCATTTTTCAGCGTGATATTCTGCAAGGTCTGAAAAACCATAAGGTCTGATTCTTTAGACAAGTCGAGGACAACTTTAGAGTTAAGCCAGCAACTTATAAAGCCTCCAAGTTGAGTGTCATCCATCTAGGTCTTAGCCGAGTGCTTACTTTAGAGAACTGGTCGTATTCGAGCATGCCTAAATGTTAATTGAAACCAAAAAGAGATTGATCATTGTTTAGGATTTAGTTATAACAAACCTGGGAATAGTCTTGAGATCTATACGGGAAATGAGCAATTTGACAAAGTTGATAGAAAGATGAATTGGTAGATATTCGGGTCCATTGAACTATCTTTTAAAATTTATAGAAGAGTTGACTTACTATACAGTACATCTGTTCATTGCTCACTTCTATAGTCGGAATGAACAAAGAAGAATAATTTATTTTAAAGGTAATAAAAATGAAAGAATAAGTAAACTATAAGTATCAGACTCAGTCAAGAAATATTAAGGATTGAGAAAGTCTGAGGTTTTACTTTGATCCACTTTGTGGAGATTTTTTATGGCATCAAAATCATCAGATACTTTATCAATAACTCTGTTCTCAACTTTATTCAAGTTCTCGATAATAGCACGAGACTCTAAAGCCATATCTTTGAACTTTTCGTCACTAAAGCTTCTGATATTAGCATCTAGGGAATTTATTTCTTTCTTAAACTCTTGATCTGTTTTCTTATGATAAGTCTGTAGTAATGTTTTAAATGTATCATCAGATATTTTCATCTTCTCTAATAATTTCTTCGTTAATGACTTTATCTCGTTTTCTTTGAGGCCATCAACTGAGTTCTGTACAAGCCCAATACTTTGAGCAAGTGTTTCATTAGACTTCTTCATATCTGCATAGCACTTGTTCATATCTTTTACCTTGTTTTTGAGCAACTGGATCTCTTTTCCTTTCATTTTAATGATTTTGTCTTTTTCCAAAATATTCTGTTGAATCTGATCCTTTTCAAGTTTTATTTGTTGGAGCTCATCTTGGAGTTGATGGATACTTCTCTCGTCCTCCTCATGCTGAGTAATAAGACTCTGTTTAGCTTGTTTAGCTTCCTCAAGTTCATCAATCTTGACTTGGGCTAGGTTATGATTAAGTTAAATTTAGGAAAATAATTCTTATTTTGAGGGATTTTTTGAAACCCTATTATTTGAGGGGAAATTTTCGGGAAATCTTATGACTCAAGAGAAAAAATTTAGGAAATCATTCCATGAAGCATATAATGGCTCCTGAGTATCCAGAAAAAGAAGATGGAGGTAGTAATTAAAGAGAAAGAACACAACTTTGAAAGAAGTGTAAATCTTTATCAGGAGCTTCTCTGTTCAAAATCTTTTCCCTGAAAAGTTGGTCTGACTTACTTTCATCCCTAAAAGTGTTAAATTGTCTATTTTTCTCTCTAATATCTTTAATCGCCAGGGCTAGCTTAGTCTCCAGTTCATGATTCCTCTCAAGAAGGTCAGGCTCAGCAAGCATGCCTTTCTGTCTCTGTCTTTCCTTCTCCTCTGACACATAATGAAGATACAAATTGAGTATCTTACTGTCCTTCCACTCAGTCCTGAGCACCTGTATCTTATTCCAGATTTGCTGAGTCTTGTCCCATTTCTTCTGCCTAGCAAGCTGAAAGAACTCCTCCTTGATTTGCTTGACCGCAGTGGCGAACTCTTGCAAAGTAGGACTCCATTCCTTCCACTTCTCGCCAAGACTTGGCTTGTGGGTCATCTCGCCTGAGATTTCGGAGACTTTGTACTCGACTAGATATTTTGTAAAAGAGATTTAGTAGAATTTAAAGAGGGTGTAATGCAATGAAGCTGCACAAGATATGGATGGTTTTATTGATTTATTAGATCGCTTTATAGATCATTTTAACAGTTTCTTATTTAAAATTTAGCATTTTTCATTCAGTCAGACTCAAAGAATTTTAAGCCTGACAAAGCAAATAGGATCTTCTGTCATAGGAAGAGGAGCACAAAGATGAGAAAAGATGGAAACTTACCTTGATTAATTCATTGTGTGATTGCCTTTGGGTTGATAAGACCTACTACTTCGTGGTTAAAGTAGTTAGAAGTCTGACAGCTTTCTCATAAGTACTCTTTTGACTGAGGGTAATACCATCTAGCTCTCGCTTTGCACAAACTAAGACAGCACAATGGAAGCTCAAATTTATCCATTTCGATAATTAATTATTAATATATCTGGCATTTCATCTTTAAATATTTTTGCTGGGGTTTTGGGGTTTTGGGGTTTTGGGGTTTTGGGG